GCCTGGCAGGGGCTTGGCAGTTGGGAGTTAGCAGTTGGACGTACGGAGGTTGGGAGTTGATGGCGGCACCAACGGAACAAAAACGCCAGAAAATAAAAAAACAATTTGACGACGCGTTCGTTGTCTAAACGTAAAAGAGTGGCAGCTCGGAATAAATGTACGGACGTGTACGGAGGTGCGGTGGTTGAAGCGGTTATGAGAAGAGGATGAATTTGCCATCATTATGTAGATTTGTTCACGTCGCGACGTGAACATGCCGGATCTACCAGATGCAGCTTTCGGTAGCTTCCTGGTAAGGAGGAGGCGGCGGCGGAGGAGGCGGAGGAGGAGGAGGCGGAGGCGGTGGAGGAGGCGGAGAGTGAGGTGACGCGTCCAACCGATTCCCTCCCGACCGCCCCCTCACCCGCGCACCCAGGTACGCTGAGCTCATGGTCGCCGCCGCCAGCAGTGCGAAGCAGGCGGCGGCGGCGGACCCGCTCTGCCCCACAGCCGCACACATCAGGGCGCCACCTGCCGTACCAACTAACGAGGCGAATATGTACTGCGAAGTTCCTTTCAAAAGGGGGGAAGTTTGCGGGGTTGGGGGGTGGGGAGAGGTGTTGCATGAAGGGTGAGATGAAGATGTCGTACATAGCTGTTGGCGTTGTTGTTCCTTGACAGGAGGACAGAAGCAAACTGATGTTGGTCACAATGTGAAGCGCCATTCATGGTGGTTGGATGTTGGTGGTTGTGGTAGTTACGGTTGTGATGGTTAAGGCAGTTCATGGGGTCCTCCCTCCCTCCTTATCTGGTCTCAGTCCGTTAGCCCCACTCCAATACACACCCCAATACACACTCACACAAACAGATCCAGCCCCCTCCCCTCCCCTCCCTTTCCCACCCTTGGCCGTCACATCCGCAATGTTGTTGTCCCGGGCGAAACTGAGGTGGAACACGGACCGAGTGGAGCCAGAGGCCATCCAGGCAAGACCTGTGGGTTGGGGTATGTATGTACGTATGTACGTATGCGTCGGGGTTGCTTAATTGGGGGGTTGGGGAATGTGTGGGGTTTGTTGGGATATGGGTTTGTATACCCGAGTCTGGACCAAACCCTGTGCTGAACTCCCTCCCCCCCCCGACCCCACCCGCCACTCTCAGCCTCACCCTCAAACTGCCCCTTCCCCCCAAATACACACACACACGCATACACTCCTCCACCTTTCAGGGTGTTGGCCAGTGATCCCATCAACAAAAAGTGCTCCGGAACCAGTACCGTGAGCAGCTCCAGGGCGGCGGCGGCCTGGAGCATTACCGATGATAAGAAGAACCTGAAGACGAGCCGACATGCATACATAAATACATGCATACGTGAAACAGATAAGTACGTACATACATATACGTGGGTGCTTCTGTGTATGATCTCGGGATGATGTAATGAAGATGATGTCGGAAAAACTACCTACCTAGCCGCCAAGATTAAAAAAGCGCGGGAAAAAACAGTAATGCCAAGCCGTAAAGAAGTAAAGGTAGGTGTAGAGGCGGCGGAAAAGTAGTAAAAAAACTGCTGAGTGAAGCTGGAATAAAGTTTGCCGCCGGCCTGGCGGCGGCATTGACGAGGTTTGGCCAAGAACTGGCAGATTAGCTGGTAGTAAAATGCTGGTGATATGCAAGTGCTCCTCCCAACCCCCCCAAAAAAGGGAGGCGGGGGGTCATTTGACGATAATGATGATGATTGTCCTCATCAAACCGCTTTCATCTTTTTTAACAGCGAATGAATCCTATCCCAAGAGAGGGGGGAAAGAAGGGAGGTTAAAACTGTCCACACGCACCCAAAGCCCTTACCAACATTGTCTACATACATCAACATACAAATGTACAACAACAACAACAACAACAACAGCAGCAGCAGCAGTAGTAGTAGTAGAAGTAGTCGGACGAGGCACAGGGCAAACTCGATAAGACGGCAGTTAGTACGTACAACCGCTGGTGTACGACGCGTACCATGTTTTAGAGTGTACGTCAAAGTTGTGGGCAATGGTCTTCCCGAACACCAGCGTACCCAGCTGGCCCATTCCGTCCTGTACGACAGTTGTACGGGACCGGGACCGGGAGTCGCGGCAGTGCAGGGCAGGGCAGGGCTGCGACGCCAACCACGGGTACGCGGAGAATGGGGAATCCACACATCCCCCCTCTCCCCCCTACACATACATACATACATACACATACACACCTGTCCCCACAAACCCACCGCAGGTCCCCTCGCTTTTCAGCCCCTCCCCCACTCATCCCCTCTCACCACCTCAAAATTTCCTCCCCCACACCATACCACACCACACAAAAACCCTTGCTCGTCCCTCTTGTCCTGCAAACGTGTCGTACCTTGAGCACCCAGTTTAGAGCCCCCGCCGTGGGAATGGATCCCGCCCCCAAACCCACAGCGTACAACATAAAGGTGGAGGCCAGCACTGAATTTGCCGTCATTGTTACGTTGTTGACGCCCTGTACGACGAATGTACGACAATACATTTCGACACAACAGTAAGTGTGCGTGTGTGTGTGAAGGGGAGACAGCACATTGTACACGACGTCAGACATGTGTAGGTGTACGACATGTGTACGACAGTGTACGGTTCCTCCCGGCCGGGGCCCGGGGGTGGCAACCGCTTCAAGGGGTTCAAACACACACGAGGGGGGTGGGTGAGGGGGAACGCGTAGATGAACCTCCACGCGCATTTCCCAACATGCTAATGCAAAGGTCGACACATCACCCACATACCACGCACATGTACATACACACATACACCCCATGTGGTCAATTCCCTCATCTAGTACGACACTTGCTGCGTCATCCTGCGCCACCTTTGCTTTTCTTCTTAGCCCCTGGTTTTTCTTCCGCTTTCACATAGGTTCTTCTTTCTTTTAAATTTCTTTTTTTTGCCTTCCCCAACCCGCCAGTTTAACACTTCTTGTAGCAGCAGCACTGGCACGTATTTTTGTTTTTCCATCGCACCCTGCTCACTACCTTGCTACCTTTCTGCCTCGCATGTGCCCTCCTTGCCTCTGCCGCTTCTGCTGCCTGGCCGCCAGGTGAGTCCGAAGGAGGTTCGAGAGCTTCGTCGGTTTATCGCGTTTGGCGTCGGTCGGCTATAGCCGGACTAGGATAGTCGGGTCGGTCGGGTCGGTCGCGCGTTTTAGTTTTGGGGGGTTGGGAGGAGCACTCAGGGCATACCACCAGCTGCTTATCAGCCGGATTTGCTCCAATATCGTCAATGCCGCCGCCAGGCCGGCGGCAAACTTTATTCCAGCTCCCGTCATCAGTTCTTTTACTACTTTTTCGCCGCCTCTACACCAACCCTTACTTTTTTACGGCTTCGTTCCACAATGTTTTTCTTCCGCGCTTATTTTAGTCTTGGCGGCTAGGTAGGCAGGTTTCCGCGGTCGTCATCATCCCGAGGTCGGCCCTTCAAAACCGCCTAACTGGTTAATTCTGCTTCTCTTTCCTTGGCAGCAGCTTCACTTTTCGTGGTTCTGGTTCGTCTTCCCCCCCACCCCCGATGTGGGCCCCCGCATCACACAGCGCCAACATAACCCACCGCCGTACGACCCCCGCCCGCAAAACAAATTTTTCATTCATACATCCACACAATGCATCCTACACACATACATACATACATACATACATACCTGCCAGACCATGAACCGCACATAGTTCTGTCCCGTGGTGTCCGGATAGCCCGCAGGGAGGAATGTGGCCGTGATCGTGTCACGAACCTGCCTGCAGTACGGCACAGTACGGCATGGCACAAAGGCGGCACACTCGTCCTGTAGAATGTGGCCGGAACATTAGACACACAATCAGGGCGAAGGTGAAGTGGGGTGAGGTGGGGCTGGGTGAGGTGAGGTGAGGTGGGGTGAGGTGGGGCTGGGTGAGGTGGGGTGAGGTGAGGTGGGGTGGCTACTCAGGTTTCCGGTGTCACCAATCACGATGACTCACACCGTTGCCGCTGCTGCCGCGGTGTCAATCGCCTGGCCCCATTTCGGAAAACACACTACCGTACTTCCCCGGCGGCTTTACCCGCTCCGGACATCCTCCGGCCCCAGTAGCACATATAGTAGTACACACATACATACATACGCAGATAAAAACATACATACGTATGCACGCACACACACGCACATCTACCCCCCCTAGCTTATCCCCCTCCTCCCCCCTACCTCACCGGCGTATGAATGTGGCGAACGACACGTCCTCCCCCCGCGCCACCCCCGCGTTGCACATCGCCCCGCCCCCGGCGCCAACCCCGGCCCCAGTCCCGACAGCGGCAACCGGGTTGGAGCCGGGGTTGCTGCTTGAGAACCGGAGCTCGTCGCGGGCATGGCACCGCACCATCCGCAGGTTGTAGTCGCGGGAGCTACTGCCTAATGGGGGAGAAGGGGGGACGGGGGAGAAGGGCCGGGTCCGGAGGGGAATATCATATGATGATGCAAGAAGGAAACCGGAGATGAACTGCCGGATTCCAAAGCTTTTGAAACTGCCCCTGGTGAGTCCTAAGCGGTGCAGTCCGGTGGGGAAAAGGAGGCCTTGCAGTCGTAGGTGCCGGGAAGTGGGGGCAGCTGGGGGAGTGGGGGATGGGGGAGGAGGGGTCGGCATAGCTAGCCAACGCGTGTGTGTTTGGGTGACCGAAATTTGTATTTCCCCCTGGACCTTAAAGATTTACGATGCCACTAATTGTAATGTAATGGAATGGAATGACGTACACAATGGTGTTGCAAGGCCGCACCTGAGACCAGCAGGTGTACGGCGTGGCTACCGTCGTGTTGTACGACACGACCATTAAATGATCCGTCCCGAGGCTCGTTGTATGTGCCATGGCTGCTGCTGCTGCTGGCGCTGGCTGGTGCTGCTGGTGTGTGCGTTGTCGTCG